ATTTTTTGTTCAGATAGAGCGGGAGGGAGAGAGAGAGAGAAACATCGACGCGAAGGGACACATCGAGTGACTGCCACCCGCACAACCAACCAGGGCCGGGGACAAACTGCAACCGAGGTACGCGCCCTTAGCGGGAACCGAGCCCGGGTCTCTCTGTACTGCAGGCCGACGCTCCAACCGCTGAGCACTTTCTTGTCTGCAGATTTATCCTTTCCCACCGCCTTTTTTGGCTTTGTTTCCACTCTTGCAGGAGCAGGTTTGGCTGACAACCTCCCCGACCTCCTCTTGGGCTCCTCCTTCACAGTCCCCTCGACCTCCTCTTGGGCATCTGAGTGCCTGAGGGCCGTGGCGCCTTGTGGCTTCGGGAACTTGGGCTGCCTGGCTGCTGCCACTTCTCCCGTTGCCTAGGCTGCTGGGACCCCCACCCCTTTCTGTTTTGGTTAATCCTCACCCGAGATATTTTTTTACATTTATTTATTTATTCATTTATTATTATTTTTTAACATTTTTTTTTCTTTTGTTGATCTTAGAGAGAGAGAAAGGGAGAGGGAGAGAGAAATAGAAACATCCATGAGAGAGAACATCTATTGGCCGCCTCCTGCATGCCCCCCACTGGAGATCAGGCCCACAACCTGAGCATGTGCCCTGACCGGGAATAAAACCGGCAACCACTGGTGCAGGGAACGCTCAACCACTGAGCCACACCCACTGGACTCCATTGATTTTTTACATAGAGTGGAAGGGATGGAGGGAGAAAAAGACAGAGAGAGAGAGAGAGAGAGAGAGTAAGGTTGATGTGAGAGAAACACATTGATTGGTTGCTTCCCACACAGTCCAGGGCCAGGAATGAACCTGCAGCCCAGGTACATGCTCTTGACTGGGAATCAAACCCAAGATGTTTTGGTCAAGGGCTGATGCTGTAACCGCTGAGCTAAACTGGCCAGCGCCTAACTTTTCTATGTTTTCTTTTGTTACTTGTGCCTTTGGTATCATATCTAAAAAATCACAGCCAAATTCAATGTCATGAAAATTTATCCTATTTTCTTCTAAGAGTTTTATTGTTTTAGGTCTTACATTTAATTCTTTGATCCACTTTGGGTATTTTGCATATGGTATTAGGTATGGGTCCAACTTCACTTTGTTGTATGTGGATATCCAGTTTTCCCAGCACCATTTGTTGAAAAAACTGTCCTTTCTCCACTGAATGGTCTGGGAACCCTTGCCAAAATCATTTGACCATATATCCAAGGGTTTGTTTCCGGACTCACTATTCTGTTCCCTAGGTCTACATATCTGTCTTTATGCTTCATAGTAAATTTTAAAATAAGAATCTGTGAGTACTCCAGTTTTGTTCTTTTTCAAAATTTTTGGCTTCTCAGAGTCTCTTGAAATTTCCTATGAATTTTAGAATGGATTTTTCTATTTCTGAAAAAAATGTCTCTGGATTTTGATAGGGATTGAGTGGACTCTAGATCACTTGAGTAGTCTTTACATCTCAGTATATTAAGTCTTCCAAGCCATACATGTTTCCAGTTATGTCCTTTTAAATCTCTTTCAACAGTGTTTTGCAGTTCATTGTGCAAGTCTTTCGACTCCCTGGCCAAGTTAATTCCTAAGTGCAGGCACAGCTGTTGCATTGCTCTGTGCTTTGTTGCACCTCAGAGACACTGCATGTTTGGCATGTCCAAAGTTCGTGGCAATCCTGCGTTGAGCAAGTGCATTGGTGCCATTTTTCTAATAGCATTTACTCACTTCTTGTCTTTGTGTCACATTTTTGTAATTCTCACAATATTTCAATTTTTTTTATTATTATGGCATTTGTCTTGGTGATCTGTGATTAATGATCTATTGTCATTGTTACTATTGTCGTTGTTTTGTGGTGCCAGTAACCATGTCCATATAAGACCACGAACATAATCGGTAAATGTGTGTGTTCTGACTGTTCCACCAATTAGCCATGCCCATGTCTCTCTCCCTCTCCTCAGGCCTTCTTATTTACTAGGACCAAGGGTATTGAAATTAGGCCAATTAATAACCCAACAATCAAGCCCTGGCCAGGTAGCTCAGTTGGTTAGAGAGCATTGTCCCAATACACCAAGGTAGCAGGTTTAATCCCTGGTCAGGGCGCATACAAGAAGTGACCAATGAAATGCATTAAAAAGTTGAACAACAGCCCTGGCCGGTTTGGCTCAGTGGTTAGAGCGTCAGCCTGCAGTCCAGAGAGACCTGGTACGGTTCCCGCTAAGGGCATATACCTCGGTTGCAGTTTGTCCCCGGCCCTGGTTGGGTCTTGCGGGAGGCAGCCACTCGATGTGTCCCTTTCACATCAATGTTTCTCTCTCTCTCTCTCTCTCTCTTCCTTTCTCTCCTTCCCACTCTGTCTGAACAAAAAATGGAAAAAGTATCATCTGGTGAGGATTAAAAAAAAAAAAAAAGTCGAACAACAAATCAATGTTTATCTCTTTCTCCCCCCCTCTTTTTCTTTCTCTCTCTCCCCCCCTTTCTCTTTCTCTCTAAAATCAATAATAATAATAACTCAGCAATGGCCTTTAAGTGTTCAAGTGAAAGGAAGAGTCTTACGCTAGAAATGATTAAGTTTGGTGAGGAAGGCATGTTGAAAGCCAAGACAAGCCAAAAGCTAGGTAGGATTCGCACAAAACAAGTATGAATGCAAAGGAAAAGTTCTTGAAGGAAATTAAAAGTGCTATTCCAGTGAACACACGAGTAATAAGAAAGTTACATGGCCTTATTTCTCATACGGAGAAAGTTTTAGTGGTCTGAATAGATCAAACCAGCCACAACATTCCCTTAAGCCAAAGCCTAATCCAGAGCAAGGCCCTAGCTCTCTTCAATTCTCTGAAGGCTGAGCTAGGTGAGGAAGCTGCAGGAGGAAAGTTTGAAGCAGGCAATGGTTGGTTCATGAGGTTTAAGGAAAGAAGCTGTCTTCATAACGTAAGTGTGAATGAAGTAAAGTGGCAGCTGCAGCAAGTCATCCAGAAGATCAGCTAAGAAAATTAATGAAGGTGGCCACACTCAAGAACAGATTTTCAATGTAGATGAAATGCCTTATATTGGAAGAAGAAGCCATCTGGGACCTTTATAACCAGAGAGGAGAAGTCAGTGCCTGGCCTCAAAGCTTCACAGGACAGGCTGACTCTCTTGTGAGGGGCTAATGCAACTGGTGACATTAAGTTGAAGCCAGTGCTCACTTACCATTCCAAAACCCTGGGGCCCTTAAGAATTATGCTGAATCTACTCTGCCTGCGCTCTGCAAATGGAACAACAAAGCCCGGAACACAGCATATCTGTTTACAGTATGGTTTACTGAATATTTTGAGCCCACTGTTGAGAGCTCCTGCTCAGGAAAAAAAAAAAAATCATTTCCATATATTACTGCTCACTGACAATGTACCAGATCACCCAAGAGCTCTGAAGGAGATGATCAATGAAATTAATGTTGTTTTTATTCCTGCTAACCCATTCTGCAGCCCATGGATCAAGGAGCAATTTTGATTTCCAAATCTTATTATTGAAGAAATATATATCTTAAGGCTGTAGATGCCGTAGATGGGGATTCCTCTCATGGAATGGGAAATATAAATTGAAAACCTTCTGGAAAGGATTCACCATTCTAGATGCCATTAAGAGCATTCATGATTTATGGGAAAAGGTCAAAATATCAAAAGTAACAGAATTTGGGAAGAAGTTGATTCTAATCCTTATGTATGACTTTGAGGTGTTCAAGACATCAGGAAGTAGCTGCAGATGGAGTGGAAATAACCCCGATTCACAGCATGACGGGGCCTCCAGCCTGGCTGCTGGCTCCAGGCCTGGCGCCCAGCTGGGCTTTGGCCTCAGCTCTGCCTGCTGTTCTCTTTGTAGTTCTCATGTATTTCTGCTCTGAGGAGATGTTTATGTTTTGTTTTGTTTGAAGCGGTCTGTCTTTTTGTTTTCCTCTTTTTATCCTTACCCATTACGCTGTGTGCTTAAACACAAGGAATACATTACTGTGTGAATTGACTGTGTCATTTCAACTGGAAGTTCATGTTCTTTCTTCATTTTTTGAGATCAAACAATTTTTTACTGAATTTTTTGTTTCCTAAGGTATGACTTATTCCTGAAGGGACCCAGGTCTGTCTTTTAATGCTTTGTTTCTTGTCTTGTTGTTGTGGTTTTGACCACTTGTTCTTGAAGGCAGAGTTTGGGCACACTCTGACTGAGGCAGTTGTTCCTGAGTTCTTTTTCTGCTTAGATACCCCTTTTTGTGTTATTCAGCACCTGGCCCCTATTTTTAAACTTCTTTAGGAATTTCAGCCTCAAGGCAGTTCTGAAGAGTAGAATGCAGATGATATTTGACCAAGATTGGTTTATTTGACTCAGCTCTCTTTTCTTTCAAAATAATTTTTTTTTTTTTTTTGTCCTGGCTGGTTTGGCACAGCAGTTAGAGCATCGGCCTGCAGTTCAAAATATATATATATATATTTAAGTCTTGGTTGCCTTCTACTTTTCTTCTGACCAAGATGGTGATGGGAAAGGGGTTTATAAATTCAGTACATTCTCTTTCTCTGCTCTGTTTGGTTGGGTTGGTGAGGTCTCTCAGAGCGCTGTCTCTGTTTCTCCGCAGCTCTGTCTCTGAGGACAGAGTGGTCACCATGCAGTTTGGCCCTAACTCTTCTGCCTTGGGATACGTAGGATGTTTTGATGTTTATAATGTGATGCTAGATCCCCTTTCTAGTGATAATGTGGCTGGAGAATTCATTCTTCCCCTCCCTCATTTTGGTGAATTTTTTTTTGCTGTTTTTGTTTTTTTCAGTTTGTTTCCTTAGGTCTGGGGGAGAGTGATCCTATGAGCCTGAGTATCCCACCAAGAGTCCAAATATGCATTTTCAATGTCTAAAATATGTATTTTTATTCTTATAAGAGCTTTTGTTGGGAACTGTTTGGTGAACAAATAAAATCATCATAAACTGTTAACGAGGTCGTGTTGATCACATTCACAGTCTCGTCTCAAGGAGCTGGAGCGAGATGCCCATCTTGTTGCAGGAGAACCGTTTCTCATAACAAGCAGTAACCAGCTTCGAGAGGTAAAGCCACATTCCGGTTCTTTTCTAAAACATAGTTCTTATTCGGGGGTTAAGGGAGATTTAGTCTGAATTTGTATATACTATTTTATGTGGGTTATCTGAAAACCAACAATTTTATGTTGTAAGTTCATGTTGTTTCACATTGAAAGTCACTTCAAAGCCTTTAAGTCCAAGAAAGTACTAAATCAAAATCTAAGCATTTTGTACCATGTAGTCGTGTGTCCTCTCTGGCTGGTTACTTTAACCCTGTTCTAGTAATGTTTCACGTCTCCCACATCTGGGGCCCTCTCATTACATGTAATTCTCCTGTCGAAGATCCTCTTTGGCAAACTAAAGCTGCACCTGCTGAGTCCAACAGAGACTCTTCCCAGGACGGGGCTGCGGGGACACCTGTCCACATCTGAAGCCGTGGTAAGGTTTGAAAATCACCCCCTTCTGGAAACAATAGCATGTCTACATGCCAGTCAGCAGTCAGGCCCGCCTTGCCCAGAGGCAGGACATGCTGGCAGTGCCCAGGCCAGCCAGTTCGAGTTGATCATTGCCCCCACCTAAGGTTGTTGCCCTTCTAGTCATGAACCAAGGAGAAAGAGGCAGCTGGACCATTCTCCGGAAGCCACCCGTTGGCTTGAGTCCTACAACGAACAATTTCGTGGAATTTTGCTCTGAAAACCAAGTTCATGACAACCAGTCACAAGCTCTCTGTTTTCATGCCCTGCAAGAGGCTGGAAATGGGGAAGGTTGTCAGCGTTCCCCTCACCCATGCATTCTAGAAAATGTTGACCCTTCTCTTGAGAAGAATACTTTCTTTTACACTTTAAATTATTCTTTATTGAATTTATTGGGGTGACATTGGTTAATAAAATTATATAAGTTTCAGCCCTGGCTAGTTTGGCTCAGTGGTTAGAGCGTCGGCCTGCGGTCCAGAGAGACCCAGTTCGGTTCCCGCTAAGGGCCTGTACCTCGGTTGCAGTTTGTCCCTGGCCCTGGTTGGGTCTTGCGGGTGGCAGCCACTCGATGTGTCCCTTTCATGTCGATGTTTCTCTCTCTCTCTCTTCCTCTCTCTCCCTCCCACTCTGACTGTACAAAAAATGGAAAAATGTCCTCGGGTGAGGATAAAAAAAATTATATAGGTTTCAGGTATAGAGTTCTATAAGGCATCATCTGTATATTACATTGTGTGTTTACCACCCCAAGTCAAGTTTCCTTCCATCACCATTTATCCCCTTTTATCCTCTTCTACCTCCCCCACTCCCCGTTCCCCCTGATAATCACCACACTGTTGTCTGTATCCATGAGGTGTTGTGTGTGTGTTTTATGCTTAATCCCTTACCTTTTCACCCAGACCCCCACTTCCTCCCCTCTGACACCTGCCAGCCTGTTCTCTGTATCTATGAGTCTGTTTTGTTTGTTAGTTTATTGTGTTCATTAGATTCCACATATGAGTAAGGTCATATGGTACTTATCTTTCTCTGACTGGCTTACTTCACTTAGCATAAAACTCTCGAGGTTCATCCATGCTGTCGCAAAGGGTCAGATTTCCTTGTTATTTTACGGCCAAGTAGTATTCTACTGTGGAAATGTACCACAGCTGTTTTATCCACTCATCTACTGATGGGCACTTGGGCTGTTTCCATAGTTTGGCTACTGTACACAACACTGCAGTGGACATAGGAGTGCATGTATTCTTTCAAACACTTCGGGGATTTCTTCAGTATCTTCCCAGAAGTGGAGTTGCTGGGGAGTTCCATTTATTAGAGACAAGGAGGAGGTCTGTGGGATAGAGCATCATCCCAATACACCAAGGTTGTGGGTTCAATCCCCAGTCAGGGCACATACAAGAATCAACCAAGGAATATATCAATAAGTGGAACAACAAGTCGATGTTTCTCTCTCTCTCCCTAAAATCAGTCAATTAAAACAATTAAAAGGCAGGGAGTCGGGAGATTCTAGGAGTGGCGGAGCCTACACAGACACTCAGATCCAGCAGGTGGCGTTGCTGAAGGCATGCAGAGCGGCGCTGAAAAGCATACTCCTGTCCCTCTGCTTAGAAGCAGCGAAGAGGCCCCAGCGCGCTCTCTGTGCCTCAGCCGGCCTTCAGCTTTGCAGCAGAGGACAGTTTGCTTCCAGACTCCCCATGCATCTTGCCTGTCCATCATTTCACTTTCTGCTCATCGCAGCCTGGTGGAGCCCCTCGCTTGCCGACTGTCCCCACACCAGCCTCAGAGGCTCAGGTGTCGCTGTCGAGTGAGCCATGGACTGCTGTGGAGCCCTGTTCCACTGCGGAGACCTGGCCTCATCCTCTTCCGCAAGGCTTCCCCACCTCAGTGATGGCCTGCCCTCTGTGTCCTTGGGAGCCAGCAGTAGGGAGCGAGGGCAGTGGGGTTAGCCACCATGCCCACCTGTACAACCTGGGCCACATTACTTGACTGCTTTGTGCCTCAGTTTCCCAATCTGTAGAAGAAGGATTATGATAGTAATCTCCCTACTAGAATCTTGTGAGGATTCAGTGTGCGTGCATGCATGTGTGTGTGTGTGTGTGTGTGTGTGTGTGTATTTAGGACTATGCCTGACATATATGTTTTCAAAAAAGCAATAATATTATGAGCTTCTTCATCCAAAAACCTAGGACTCATCTTTGATTTTCTTTGAGCCTCACCTGACAGCAAGTCTCCCAATCCCTCCTTGCAGAATGTGTCCTGAGTTTGCCTACTTCCCTGCAGACACACTTCCACCCCTTTATCTCCCCCAGGAGGCTCCCAGGGTTCCTGAGCAGTCTCCGCCTCTGCTCTCTTGCCTGCCCTGCGGTTATTCATTACCTCAGGCACAGTGGTCTGGAGCACTAGACAAATCAGTCACGCCCTGGCCTCGTGGCTCAGTTGGTTGGAGCATCATCCTATACACCAAAAGGTTGTAGATTCAATTCCTAGTCAGGGCAATGCCCAGGTTGTGGGTTTGATTCTCACGAGGGACACATGATTGATGTTTTTCTCTTACATCAAGGTTTCTTTCTCTCTCTCCCTTCTCTCTTTAAAAATCAATAAATATATCCTCAGGTAAGGATAAATAAAGCAAAGCAAAGCAAAGCCATGTCACTCCTGTGACTTGAACTTCCAGTGGCTTTCTATGACACTTAGAATAAAATCCAAGCTCTTCAGCATGTCTCCCAGGCCCTTGGGTCTGACCCTGACACTTACCTGGCCTTGCTCAGCACCACTGGCCCCCACTGAGCATACCTGCTGCCCAGGGCCTCTGCACAGTCCTTTCCTCGGAGACTGTTTTCACAGATTCCGCCTGCCTGTCTTCACGCTGTCAGCTTGTGTTGCTCGCAGAAGCAACTCCTCTGGTCACAGAGAGGACAGCAAAGTACCCAGTTACGACCCATTTCTTCACCCTGATTTCCTCTCTGCACACAGCTCGCTGTTAGTCACTTGTTTGCTTATTCCATGAGGATGTAGGTTGCCCAGAGCAAAGACCTCATCTGACTTGTTCGCTGCATCCCCAAAACCAGCCAGTCCAGAGCTAGCACCTGGTAGACCGAAGTGATGTCTGGGATTCGTTCACGGAGATCGGGGAGCAGTTCCCAGCTCGCTGGAGACACTGGTGTGGATTTCAGCACCCTCGTGGCCAATCTGGGCAGTGTGCCAGTCCTAGCAGTGTGGTGCCCGGGGAAGCCGTACAGTCCCTTCTGGCCACACCTGCATGGGGGTCCTGGGCTGACTTATTCTCTGTCCTGGCACCAGCTGGCAGTGTTGTCCTTCCCTTCGCTGTTCCTTGGTGCTTTGAGATGGGTAACCAACAGCGCAAGGAGAGGAGTCACTCTTCCGGTGTTGATGTGCTTTCTTGCAGACAGAATTAAGACAACGACCTGAATTTTCCCACAAAGACATGCTTGACCTAAATCACACTAGCCTTACTCTCTTATTCAACTGGGCAGACCATACTCTTCTGTGCACTTACAAAACATGAACTTTTACTAGGAAACACATGCACATAGCTCTCAGTTCAAAACTAAGACTCCTTTTCTCTGCTTCCCTTCCCCTCCCTCATACTAGATGAAGGGGTGGCCAGGAACCAGTCAAGAAAGGCGCACTTGATCATAGATATGGTTTTAGCGGACTTTACCTTTTAGATCAGTTTTAGGTCACAGAAAAATTCAGCAGAAGGTACAGAGAAGTCTCACAGACCCCCTGTGCACCCCCCATGCACACACAGAAGGTACAGAGAAGTCTCACAGACCCCGTGTCCACCCCCATGCATACACAGAAGGTACAGAGAAGTCTCATAGACCTCCTATCCACCCTCCCTGCATACACAGCCTCACCCACTACCAACACTTCCCACTTGATAGCAGCGTCCCTATCACGGGTACATTTGTTTCGGGCATTGAACCTGCCTTGACACAACATCACCACCCAGAGTCCACAGTGCACATTAGGGTCACTCCTGATACGGCACATTCAGAGGATTTGGGCGAATGTATGATGACATGTACCCACCATTATACTTTATACAGAGCAATTTCATTGCCCTAAAAGTCCTCTGCACTCCACCTGGTCATCCCTCCCTCCCTTTAACCCCCGGCAACCCGTGATCTTCTCACTGTGCCCATAGTTCTGTCTTTTCCAGAACGTCATAAACTTGGAATTCATACAGTGTGCAGCCTTTTCAGATTGGCTTCTTTCACTTAGGAATATGCATTTAAAGTTCCTCCATGTCTTTTCATGGCTTAATAGCTCATTTCTTTTTAATGCTGAATAACATTCCATTGTCTGGATGTAACAGTTTATTTGCCATTCATCTACTGAGGGACATTTTGGTTACCTCTAACTTTTGGCAGTTATGAGTAAAGCTTTTAAAACACTTGTGTCCAGGGTTTTGTGTGGACATAAGTTTTCAACTCCTTTGAGTAAACAACCAAGAAGTAGGATTGCTGGATCATATGATAAGCACATGTTTGTTTTGTAAGAGACCCTCAAACTGTCTTCCAGTGTGGCGGCACCATTTCGCCTCTCCACCAGCACACGGTGGGGCCAGGGTCCCGAGTCTGGCTGGTCTGGCAGGTGTGTGGTATGTCTTGTCTGACTGGAGGAGGCTCACTGAGAGGCTGTCACTGGATGTGGGAACTGACGTCTCGTAGTCCAAGGGATGGCAGTGAAGATGGGCAAAGCAGATGGATTTTCAGAGCATTTTTAGAACAGAAAGAAACTTCTGTGAGTGAACAAAAGTCAGGAATTGAGGTAGTTCCTGGTTTTCTTAGTCCTGCACCTGAGCAGAGCTGGCCACTCCTCAGGGAAAACTAGGAAGGGAACAGTTTATTGGTGGTGGGGCAGTAAAGGGCTCAGTCTTGGACATGTTGAGACAGAAGTGTTCACAAGACTTTGATGCAGAGATGTCACATGAGGAGTTGGATCTGTGAGGAGAAGTCTTGCACCAGAGATATGCACCTGGAGGTGGTCAGCTGAAGTTTATTGAGGTTGCCTGGGTTGGTGGTCCTTTACCCTGGCGGGAGCTTTGGAAAAACTCAGACGCGTGGCTGATCCTTGGAGTCAGAGCCTGCGGGCTGGGCGGCCCAGTCATGGACATGTTTTTAAAACTCCCCAGCTGATTAATGACAGGCAGCACTGATAACCAGGGAACTGGACTCAGAAACTGCCCGTGAGAAGCCAGAGAGAGGAGGTACCAACGGGTGGCCACAGAGAGGGGAGATAAGAATGTGGCGTCAGGAGCCCGCACGGGGAGTGTTCGATCAAACTTGAGGGCACTCTGCCCCTGATCGTTAACCAACTCTGGTAGGGCGCCACCCAGAGTTTTTATGAGATCAAACACTTAATTATTTTCAAGTGTTCCTAGGCAGCTCATTCCAGATATACAGGCAGAAAGGTGTTTTGTGAACAAGGTATTCAGGATAAGGAGATTTAGTGGATCTCAAGCAGTTTTTTTGGGCTAAGTATTTTCATGCACTTTCATCTCCGCGAGAATAACTTTTCTCAGAAAATGGCAATTCCGGATGATGCCAAGTCAGGGTTCCTCCCTGGGCAGTGTTGGCTCTGCCGTTCAGGTTTCTCTGAGCCGCCCAAGCCCCGTCTTCAGTCTTCATGCGAAGAGAGGGATGCTGTTCTATGCTGTATATGTTACATTACAGTGAGCACCCGTTCTCCTCAAGTTAATTCATAGATTCAAAAATGATCGTAATTAAATCCTTAGCAGAAGTTTTTTTGGTAGAAATTGGCAAGCTGATCCCCATATTTATATGGAAATGCAAGAAACTAAGAACCAAGAGAATGTTGGTAAATAAAGCACTATTGGAAGATTTAGTCTATTGGGTATCTAGACTAATCATAAAGCAATAGAAATTACTAGGAACGAACGAAACAGTCCAATGTGGTATTGATTCAAGGATAAACAAACAGACCAAGGGACCAGGATAGAGAATCCACAAACAGACCTTCACATGTGTATGGAACGCGTGACCTCTGAGAGGGTAGCGCTGCAGAGCAGTGAGTCAGCAGGTTGGTGATGTAAATGATAAGGGGACAGTGCCTCCGGACCCCTGCTTCACACCACACACACAAATTCCATGTGAGTTGTTTATCAACATATGAAAAGCAAAACAGTAAAGACTAGAAGATAAGAGAATATCTTCAAGATCTTGACGTAGCCAACCATTCTCAGGACACAAAGCATTGACTGTGAAGAGAGAGGTCGGTAAATTGGACAGCAGTAAAAGTAAGAACCTCTGTTTAAGAAAAGACACCACCAAACAAGTGAAAAAGCAAGCCACACAGGGTTAGAATATGTTTCCAGTAAATATAACGGACTAAAAGAAAACCCTGTCCAGACTAATGAATTCTCACAAATCAAGAAGAAAGACACAAACCAGTTTTTCAAACAGGCAAAAGACATGAACAGGTATTTATTGAAAGGAAATCCACAATTAGTCAAAAAATATTTGAATGCTATTTGACTTTCTCAGTCACTGGGGAAAATACACTTTAAAAGCACGGTGAGATCACCCTGGCCGGTTTGGCTCAGCGATTAGAGCGTCAGCCCACAGACCAGAGAAGCCTGGGTTCGGTTCCCACTAAGGGCCTGTACCTCAGTTGCAGTTTGTCCTTGGCCCCGGTTGGGGTTGTGTAGGTCGCAACCACTCGATGTGTTTCTCACATCGATGTTTCTTTCTCTCTTTTCCTCCCTCTCTCCCTCCCGCTCTATCACAACATAAAAATGCAAAAATATCCTTGGGTAAGGATAAAAAAAAAAAAAGCACAGCGAGAGCCCTGGGTGGTTTAGCACAGTGGTTAGAGCGTCAGCCTGCTGACCAGTGAGTGGCAGGTTCGATTCTGGTCAGCGGCCCATACCTCGGTTTTGGTTCGTCCCAGCCCTGGTTGGGATTGCACTGGAGACAACCTGTCAATATGTCCCTCTCACGTCGATGTTTCTCTCTCTCCCTCTCTCTCCTTCCATTCTATCTGAAGATAAATAGAAAAAATATCCTTGGGTGAGGATTAAAAAAAAAAAAAAGCGCCCTGGCCGGTTTGGCTCAGCGGTTAGAGCGTCGGCCTGCGGTCTGGAGAGACCCGGGTTCGGTTCCCGCTAAGGGCACGTACCTCGGTTGCAGTTTGTCCCCGGCCCTGGTTGGTTGTGTGGGTGGCAGCCACTCGATGTGTCCCTTCACGTCGATGCTTCTCTCTCTCTCTCTCTGTTCCTCTCTCTCCCCCCCACTCTACCTGAACAACAAAATGGAAAAATGTCCTCGGGTGAGGAAAAAAAAAAAAAAAAAAAGCAAGGCGAGATACTACTTCACTTTACTAGAATGGCCAGACTTGAGACCAAGGATGATGTGTTACCAGAGACACAGAGCGCCTGGGTTTCCACGTGTTTCTGAGGAACTGGCTGGTGTCGTCTGCCGCAGGTGACCCGGCATTCTCACGCCTCCACATGGACGCAGTCGAGAGAACTGTGGACGTTATCAACCAACGTCTGTACCAGAATGTTCAGAGCAGCACCCTTTGCCTAACAGCCCACCTAGCTATCGACGGCGGGGTGGAGAAACAGCTGACCCACGTTCAAACAACACAGCATTACAAGTAAATGACATACTCTTCCCACGACAACATGGGTGAACCTTAGAGCCGCAGTGATGAACAAAAGAAGCCACGCAGAGAGCACCTATCGTATTCTGTTGATGCGAAGTTCAAAACCGGGGAAAAGGGGCCTGGATGGTGGAAGTCAGGCATGTGGAGGGGCAGGGGCCTGCCTGGGAACCTGAAATGGTCCATCTGGGCAAACCCAAGTGTGTTCACTTTGTGATAATTTAACAAATCGTGCTCTTAACGATTTTTCACTTGCTCTATGTTATCTTTTGACTTTTTAAAATTAATTTCAAAATCCAGATTCATGTTCCAACGTTACCTCCCGACTGTATGCCCAGATCGCTGTGATTCAGATGGGTGTTCCTGAACTAGCAAGTTACACATTTGTAGGCATTTTCTCAGTTTACTCTGCCATGTGGTATTTTTTAAATAATTTTTAAATTGATTTTTAGAGAGAAGAAGCGAGGAGGAGAAAGAGACAGAAAAAAAACATTAATTGGTTGCCTCCCATAGGAGCCCCAACAGGGGATCCAACCAGCAACCTAGGTATGTGCCCTGGCCGGGAATCAAACCGCCAACCTTTTGGTATACAGGACACCGCTCAGCCAACTGAACTACACAGGCCATGGCTGCCATGTGGTATTTTACACACCCTAGATGTAGATGTCACTCATCAAAATCGCATCCAGCTCCCCTGAAATGCCTTTAGCTCCCAAAGGACAATGGTGATTTTGTAAGGGATTAAGATTAGGACGCTTGATAAACTGAGTTGATTATGAATCTTCATTTTGGAAAATATGCTCAACGTAGGCTATTTTCTTATTAGGACTTTCTCCATCTAAAAATAAGTGTTTGAAATGTTAAAATTAAATGAATGAATTATATCAATGCTATTTATTCTCATGTTTTAGTTAAATGCTCTGCAAGACCTCCATCCATTACCCAAGATCATTTTGGAATATAGGCAGGTGAGTTAACTTTGTTGTAAGTTGGTGATGAAGGGGAAGCATATGGCACCGTCTCTGTTAACAGAAATCCATAATCACTGAGGTTGCCTGACAGGTTCCCGAAGGGAAGAGTTTGTTCAGGTTGGCCTGTGTCAGCACTGCTTGCCTGTCCCCTGACACGGCTACATGCACGTCTGCAGGCAGCCCCACTCAGCATCGAAGGGCACCAATGGAAGCGCTAAGAAACTACTTGGTGTGTCAGTGTGTGACTTCAGTGTGACGTAGACTCCCATAGGCACTGAGGTCAGAAGCCTCCTCCCGTACCCTGTGGCCTGGCCTGGTGAAATGGCTCCCAGCCGTGTCTTACCATTGTGCATTAGCAGGTCTTGGTTACTGACATGCCCCCGCTGCCCCTGCAGCTACTCATGGTCTCTCTTCACACACCTGTTGCCAGTTCTCTGTTGTTTGTGAAGTAATGAAAGGACTGAAAGAGGACTAAGAGGGAACCACAGGGCACGCTTAGTGGCAGGTGTGTGGGAGCGCCCGTTTATCCTTGTAACTTTTCTGTGAAAGAATGATTCCCAGTGATAAATGCATTTGAAAGGGGCAGGTGACACCGTTCTCTGTGGGTCACTGTTGTTTAATTCTGTGGGCCAACAAACCACTTTAAGGCATCCTGGAGTCACCTCGGGTGACGGCAGCAGTTGATACCCATCCCTCTATGAAACACGGCTTTGATGATTATTCCTATTTAAACACTTCTACAATGAATATTCTTTTGTCTTTGTGATTTAGGTTCACAAGATCAAGTCAGCCTTTGTAGATGGACTGCTAGCATGCATGAAGAAGGTAACCAAGGCTAAAAAATTACGAATATGGTTTGCACGTGAGTTTAGATCACTACAGAAGTTCTTTACATTTTAGTTAATGGTGAAATCATCTAATAGACCTCAAACTGTGAACCACGATTTTGTTGTTATTCTGCCTCTTTATAGAAGGCCCGTTCTACCTCAGAAGCGCGTGCTGACGCGGAGGCTGTGTGGCTGGCCTTGTGCTTTCGCAGCCGTCTCTGCAGCTCTCTGTTGTTTCAGGGAGGTCTGCAGTCAGAGATGTTCTGTGACTTGCCTGCGGCCACACAGCTTGTCTGGGATGCACAGCCCACCTTGAGTCCACGCTGAGCCCCTTGGGCCCATTTCCCCATGCACAGGGTTTTTAAGTAACTCAAAAACCCACTGCAGTTTCCAGGGGTGAGGGGAAATCTCCTTGCCCACTCTGATCACCCATCAGCAGTGTCTAAAACCCAGGACATGTCGGGTTGGGGCTTAGGGCCTTGGAGGAGAGCAGGGAGTGTGCTGTCTGGAGCGGGAGGGACTGATGGGCCCAGCGCACTCGTGACTTTGTATAGCACTGTTAGAGCTTAAACGGATCCTTTCTAACGGACGAAGGGCTCCATTTCCTGCACGTGGAACCAGACTGGGACTGTGACTGGAAGACTTTCCGCCAAGCACCCGGTGAGTCAGTGCTCCTTGCTAAATGCGTTTCTGTTTCTAGGAGGGCCAGACCCCATGTCGATGGAGTGGATTTTTTTTATCCCCTCCACTCTATACCTTTAGAGTGGATTTTTTTTTCTGTTTATTCATTCGGTTAATATTTATTTAGCACCTACTATGTTTTGGGAACATAGTGGAGGACAAGGCACATGGTTCGTGCTGTCATGAAGTGTTGAGTTAGTGAGGGGTTCTTTCCCTCCAGAGAGTCATGCACTTGGACACCCCAGTCCCATCCCTTCTTTGTTTTCAGATTTGTGCTGAACAGGCGGCTTCTGATTTCCAGAAATGGGTGGATACCTGACGCTCTGGTGCCCACCTCCATTGTGCTCAGAACTCCCTCTGACGAAGGGGCTGAAATGCCCCTGGATTTAGGGTACAGGTTTAATAGCACATAAAGCAATTAGCTTTCTAAGTGGTTTTATGTTTTTGAATTAAAGACAACTCATTACTAATTTCTCATTACAGGAATAGTTAGTTCCTTAAGTACAGGAAAGAAATGTAAAAAAAACCAACAACTCAGAAAACCCAATGCGAGTCCCCTGGTGCTCCCCAAGCAGAACCGCCATGGTTAACCTTTGGTGTCGTCCTTTCAGAACTTTTGCTAAGCACATGTCTTTATAACATACGACTTTTCTACAAAAATAAAACTACACTTTTGTTTTATGCTCTTTAATTTTATTTAAGAAGCCTTGGTAGTATACATCAACATTGATCTGAATCTATATTTAGATGTAAATAATTGAGTTATTTAAAAATATATGAATTCAATACGTGAAACTCAAGTAATGTGGAAGTTTATACAATAAATGTGAGGCCCTGGTCGGTGTGGCTCAGTGGTCAGAGTGGAGGCCCGCAAACCGAAGGGTGGCGGGTTCGATTCCTGGGTCAAGGGCACATACCCAGGTTGCAGGTTTGAGTCTCAGCCCCAGTCAGGGTTGTGCAGGAGGCAACCAATCAATGTGTCCTCATGTCGATGTCTCTCTCTCCCTCCCTCCCTTCTACTCTATCTAAAAACCAATGGAAAAATATCCTTGGGTGAGGATTAACAAAGCAAATGTGGGTCCTCTTTCCCTCTCCTTTGTACTGATATGTCTATCCCACGGGTCCCCCAGTTTGCAGTTTGGACTGCATCCTACCAGGCCTGCACCCGGGCCCTTAGGGGTGTGTATACCTCGTGCAGAGAAGAGAGTGGCTGGGACTGGGCAGGCTTGTCCTGGGCTGTGCGACAGCGGTGGCTTTTGGTGCAGGACACCCTCTGAGGACTCTCAAGTCACCGGCTGTATCTTGGGCCTCGAACCCATCCGAGGAGGGTCTTATTTTTGACATCCCACTTTAGAGAGCTCTTCTGTGGTCTTTATCCCGCTGACTAGCACCAGCGCCAGCACTAGTACGGATGCTGACACTAATTCTCACGCTAGCATGACTGCATCTGGAAGCAGGGCTGCGCCTGCTGCTCTGTCCATTTCCCAGCCTGCTGCCCCCGATGTGCCTTTCCCATGGTGGATGCCGCTCCTCAGCCAGGAGTTACCCGGGATTTCTCCTGGGAGAACTGACTTTTTATGGAGGGTCTTTCTTTTTCCTGTAAAGGTCCTGTTTTCTACTGCATGTCCAGATTACTCTCTTCTCTGCACTATTCTCTTCCAGAAATGTCTAATGTCTCTGGTTTGTGGGTAGCGCTCCTCCCAGGTTTCCAGTGATACTCTAGTTTTACTTATTTTTCTGTTATTTCAGTAGAATTTTGGAAAGAGGAGATATCAGCGTAATGTGTGTGATTGGCACACCTTGCCCTGGAAGCCTCATCGTTCTGAGAGCTGCACCCTGAGCAGCTGGCCCTGCCAACGGCGTTTGGACTGTCCTCAGTTTCCAGTGTTTCATTCCGAGACACCATACCTTTGGTGCATTTTCCTGCTGATTTCCATAGCGCAAATCTCTAGCAACGGAGTTTCTGAGTCAGAGTCTGTGTTTATTTTTAAGGCTTCACATTACTGTATTGTCCTCCAGGAAAAAAAAAGTTGCGCCCTGGCCGGTTTGGCTCAGCGGTTAGAGCGTCCGCCTGCGGTCTGGAGAGACCCGGGTTCGGTTCCCGCTAAGGGCAGTACCTCGGTTGCAGTTTGTCCCCGGCCCTGGCTGGTCGTGCGGGTGGCAGCCACTCGATGTGTCCCTTTCACGTCAATGTTTCCCTCTCTCTCTCTTCCTCTCTCTCCTTCCCACTCTGTCTGTACAAAAAATGGAAAAATGTCCTCGGATGAGGGAAAAAAAAAAAAAAGTTACATTCCCAACCAAACAACATGTGAGACACTGGGTCCCCTATATCCTTGCCCATAAAAGGAGTCTTCAGTTTGGTTACTATTTCCTGGCTTGATTTTTAAATTTCGATTCCTTTAAAAATTAAGTGAGGCTCTGGCTGGTTTGGCTCAGCGGTTAGAGCGGCAGCCTGCAGTCCACAGAGACCCGGGTTCGGTTCCCGCTAAGGGCATGTACCTTGGCTACAGTTTGTCCCCAGCCCTGGTTGGGTCGTGCGGGTGGCAGCCACTCGATGTGTCCCTTTCACGTCGATGTTTCTCTCTCTCTCTTTCTCTCTCTTCCTCCCACTCTATCTGAACAAAAAATGGAAAAGTGTCCTTGGATGAGGATAAAAAAAAAAAATTAAGTGAGGTTGATATATAAAACAGTTATTCTTCTATGAATTGTCTGTTCATGTCATTTGCACATGTCTCTGGAGGATGTAATTTTTTCTTATAGGTATAGAAAAGCTTTCTGTATAATAAGGATTAATCCTTTGTAAAATGTTGGATTGTTTTTCTCCATTTTTCTTTTGCCCTTGAACTTTTTAACTACGTATTCTGTTTGTCATGCTTAAAATGGCTTTTTATTTTATGAATAATATGTGATGATTCTAAAAATTCAAACAATGCATAAAAATATAAATAACAAAGTAAAAGTCACATGACGGTCCAGAGCCCTGTGACAACTACCATTAATATTTTGGTGACCATCCTCTGTTTTTCTCTCTTTATGCACACACACACACACACATACACACACACATTTACTAGAACAGAATTGTATCGTTCATGTTGTTTTTATTTTAGACACTCCCTCACCACACCACATATCAGCCCCCACCCTCAATCCCAGTGCCCTGCTCACCCATGATAGCGACCTAGACTGTGCTCATTCATAGTTTCCTCCGGCCCAACAGTGTGATCTTACACAGACCAACGTGGGTCCATCGGCATATGCATAAGAGACGTGGAATGACTTTATCACTTATTTCACAGAGTTAGAGCTCTGCGTCTCCGCCTCTTGCTCTTTTCTCTCCGCAGCGGCTCGTGGACTCCCTGCAGGTCACCTGACATCCCGCTTACGCTTGTCCATGTGTCTCCTGCCATTCCTCTGCTGTGGACATGTGCTCCCTGCCCAGCTCTTGCCCTGGGGTTGAGCTGCAGAGAGCGTCGTGCACACGTGTTGTGGGTTAGTGGTGCTTGTATTTTGTTGGGTAGATGGCCAGGTTTGGAATCACGAGGTCAAAGGATGTTACATTTGCACTTTTAGTAGCTGTGACTAGTGTGGCTTCCAGACACTGTCCGCTCTCGGCTGCCACGAGCAGTGTGTGCAGCCCTGTCCACTGCCGGCGGTGCTGTCCCCGGGCCCGGGCCTTCTTGAACCTGCCTGCGTGTCATCTGGGCTGCCTTCCTCAGCCCCGGTCTCTCGGCATTCACCTTGTTTTCTTGTAGCACCTCAGTGTTTCCATGCGTGGACCCTGACCCCAGCTATACACTGCTGAGACAGGTCCTCTGTAGGTTACACACACTGTGGGGCCATACAATGGCCAGAGCTTGAATTACACTGTTTTGTATCAAGTGCACAAAATGCACTTGATTAAAATTTCACATTATAAGTGTTTTCCAACATTTCTGGAAAGCTACTTTCTCACACATGTGCCCTCCCAAGAGAAAGTTGCTGCTACTAGTTGACTGCTGACGGTCCTGCCATGCACTTCTTGTTCACTCATGGTTATTTCTGGTGATAGGAGAATGTAAGGTGTGTTTGTCTTTGGCTGACCCACGTCTTTCCCATATTTTGACATTTTAACAAAGCACTAACAGGTTATAATTTATTCAAGAACTAGGAGAAAATAGTTGATTGAATGAGTTCAAGCCCAGTCTCAGTAATAGACATGACGAGCATATTGGAGCATTTTCACAATGGCTGTGTGAAAGTCTTTGTCAGGTGATGCCATGGGATTTGGGGTTTTTCTGCTTCTTCACATGTCCAGTAATTTTGGACTGTGTACTGGACATTTTGAATAGTGCGTTATGATAGTCTGGATCTTGGTCGGAATTCCATGATATTTTTCTTTTAGTAGGCAGTCGACCTGGTTAGTTTCAGGCTGCAAGTTACAACCTGCCTTCCAGGAGCTGTGGGTTCCGATGTATGTTCAGTTTTCAAAGCATTTGTAGGCTAGTTCAGATATTCCCAAATGATGGCATCAAGTGTTCAGTCTGGGCATTGAGCTGTGATCTATCTGTTAGTTCTCAAGTCTTGGGTATGTTGTTCAGGGTGACATCTACACGTGTTTGTAAACAGCTCTACGATATGGTTGCCCTGAGCTCCGCCCTCTCTAGGATCTCCCTAGTTAACTTCTGGGTTCTGGCGAGCTCTCATTTTTAACTCTTCTAGCCAGAAATCTGAGGCTTTAGTATTTCTATTCTGCTGAGCACTTCATGCTACTATCCCCATGTCTGGGGCCAAGTGGCAGGAGGACCAAGAGGAAGAAATCATGAACCTAAAATCTGGTCTGCTTCTCCAGTGTGCCTGCTGCTATTTTCATCAAATATTCTATCCAGTTTCTATGGCTGGGTTCAGCGGGCTGTGCTCGTAGTACCTCACCAGGAATAGGAAACCTGACTTCATTTTCTAACAGCTCTGTTGAGGTAAGATTAACACACAGTGAACTC